GTCAGATTCTCGTTCCCAGGAATTTCAAGGGTGGACCATAGGGGCACAGACTGTCATTGGAGCTGCACTGCACTATGGGAAGATCCTGGAGACACAATCTAAGCACTCCTGCTGTTGATCAGAGTTGTCCCCATGGTTTCGTCCTTTCCCATTCCATGAACTTTCCCTTTCTTTCCTGAAGTTAACCAATTAATGTCTGTTGTGTGCAATCTGAGATATTTTACTAAACTGAAACCTCTACTAACTGGTACAATTTCCCCTCAAAGTAGAAAACAATTGTTCTCTTACTGGCCGACAGAAACCTAGTCCCAAGAGCTACTGAGAAGGGAAGTATAATGTAGCTTACTTGACCAGGCTTCTTCCTGTACTGGGAATCCATCTACCCAGAAGGTCTCCTGCCCTTTCTGAACACAAGTCTGACCACTTTTCTTTCAGCCAGTCTTAAGCCTTTTCCCTACCTCAAGATTTTTATTGTTTTTTTAAATATATGCTATTATTTTCATTCATATTTCCTAATGTCTGTGAATAAAATTCTATGTCTCCTGTATTATTTCTGACAAATGTGTTACTGGAACACATTTTATATGTTCAAAAACATAATATAACAGGACAGACCTTCCTGAGATTGGTGATGTATAATGTCAAAAGTTAAATTTGGGCCTCATATATCAAAACTTACTTAGAAATACTTCTTTTCATTGAGAACAAGATAAACAGATTTTTCAAAGAAAAGGGGTTTTCTCCTCTTGAGAGCCCTTTTAAAATGCAGGAGCTGCTTAGCATTGCTTCAAATACAATAAAGTTGAAATGAAATGACCATAAAAAGGAAAAACTACACAAATTGCAGAATGGCTTAGGTAGTTGCTTTGCATTTGTTCTAGAGTATATGCTGGCTACTCCCACTCTGAAGTGAGGAGCAAGCAGCTGAGAAAGGTAGAGTGGGAAAGCTGAAAAGCTTTCTGTTATGGGTTGAATTGTGTACCCCCCCAAATTCCTATGCTTAGGTCCTACTGCCCCGTACCTCACAATGTGACTTTATTTGGAGACAAGGTCTTTACAAAGGTAATCAAGTTAAAATGAGAAAATCAGGATGATCCTATCTTAATCAGTGTGGGCTGGTATAATAAAAATACCAGCGGGACTTCCCTGGTGGTCCAGTGGTTAGGACTCCGTGCTTCCAATGCAGGTGGCATGGGTTCGACCCCTGGTTGGGGAGCTAAGATCCCACATGCCGCACGGCGTGGCCAAAAAAAAATTACCAGAGACTGCGTGGCCTATACAATAAACATTTATTTCTCTTGGTTCTGGGAAGTCCAAGATCAAGGTGCCAGGAGATTCCGTCTGGTGAGGACCTATTTTTCAGTTCATAAATGGCCATGTTCTCACTGTTTCCTTATATGGTAGAAGGGGTGAGGGAGCTCTCTGGGGTCTCTTTTATAAGGGCACTAATCCCATTTATGAGGGCTCCACCTTCAAGATCTAATTATTGTCCAAAGGCCCCACCTCCAAACACTATCACATTGGGAATTAGGTTCCAACATATGAATCTTGGAGGGGCACAAACATTCAGTCTATAGCTGACCCTAATCCAATACGACTAATGTCCTTACAAAAGGGGAGATTTGGATATAGACACATATAGCAGGAAGATGATGGGAAAAGGCACAGGGAGAAGATAGCCATTGACAAGTCAAGGAGAGAGATCCTTCCCTCATAGCTCTCAGAAGGAACCAAGGTCTGCTGTTAGAAAACAGAGCTGCACTCACTCACCTACACATAAAGCTCAACAATTTTTGGTTCCTTTATACTAATAAGACACAAGACATAATTTGCTCTCTCCTTCATATAAGACATTCCTATTAACCCATCAGCCGAGTATGGACCGTAGTGTACTCCCAGGCCTTCCCATTCTAAGGGGACCCAAATAAATTCTCAGTCAAGGTCCAGGCAAGGCTTTCTTGCCCATTGTGATGGCTGATTTTATGGGCCAACTTGACTGCACCACAGGGTACCCAGATATTTGAACAAGCATTATTCTGAGTGTTTCTGTGAGAGTGGTTTTTTTTTTTTTAACATCTTTATTGGAGTATAATTGCTTTACAGTGGTGTGTTAGTTTCTGCTTTATAGCAAAGTGAATCAGCTATACATATACATATATCCCCATATCTCCTCCCTCTTGAGTCTCCCTCCCACCCTCCCTATCCCACCCCTCCAGGTGGTCACAAAGCACCGAGCTGATCTCCCTGCGCTATGTGGCTGCTTCCCACTAGCTAGCTATTTTACATTTGGTAGTATATATAAGTTGTGAGGGTGTTTTTGAATGAGATAAACATTTAAATCAGTAAACTGAGTAAAGCAAATTGGCCTCCATAATGTGGGTGGGCCTGACTCAATCAAATGAAAACCTCACTACCTCCCCTTCCCCGTTCAAGAGCACACTTTCCTGCCTGGGAGCCTTTGAACTGGTCCCTGGTTCTACAGCAGCTACAGGTCTTTGGACTCAAAATAGACATTGGATCTGCAGATTTTAGACTTGCCAGCTTCCATAATCATGTGAGCCAATTCCTTATTTATATATATATATATAAAATATACCCTATTGGTTCTGTTTCTCTGGAGAACCCTAATACACCCATCCTTCCTTACATAGCCAACAATTCATTTTCATCATACAAATTTACCAACTAACTTTTGTAAAATTACTGCTATGGATTTTGTGAAATATTTCTCTATGTTCAAATCCTTTCAGAAATGGTCTGGGTTTAAGGAATAAAATATAAATAAACATCAAATGAAAGAGAGATTAAGAAGAAAATTTCTGCCTGGAATGCACTTGTTTTGAGAAAAGAACACTGACAGGCCATCATAAAAATTCAACAGTTGGGGTTTCCCTGGTGGCGCAGTGGTTGAGAGTCCGCCTGCCGATGCAGGGGACACGGGTTCGTGCCCCGGTCTGGGAAGATCCCACATGCCGCGGAGCGGCTGGGCCCGTGAGCCATGGCCGCTGAGCCTGCGCGTCCGGAGCCTGTGCTCCGCAACGGGAGAGGCCACAACAGTGAGAGGCCCCCCTACCCCAAAAAAAAAAAAAAAAAAAAAAAAAAATTCAGCAGTTACTTTATACAAATGACAACAAGTAGACCGAAATATGTCTTCTGTAAATAATGGACATCTCAGGATCAATACTCACTGTTCTGACACCACCCTTTTAAAGTGAGAATGAAATATACAACGAGAAGAGAAATTATAATGGCTTAAGTAAAAGGTTTATGTTCATCATGGACTGCACTCATTGTGTGTTTTATTTTTCATTTCCTTGGTGCTTTGTAATCACCTGTTAACTATCTTTTATAGCCGATTAGTCATCTTTAAAATTACTATGTGTCTCATATTACCTATTATTAAAATGTTATCTTAACAATAAAAACCTTAATTCTGATACATTGAATTTCAACATTTTTTCCTACTCTCTTTTTTTTTAACCTTGCACATGTCACAGGTAACCTAAAACCTAAGTTAAACTATTTGAATACAATTCAGAGCTGGGGAATTGGGTAAAATGGATGCTCTACAAATGATCTTACATGAGCTTTCTGAATCAGAATGTAACAAATTATTATTTGTTCCCCTTGGCCGTTTTCAGAAGGATAGAGATTATCATGTAAAAGTCAGGCAATTTCTGCACTCTGGCTGAAAACCTTGGGAATTTAGTTTAGCCTTAATAAGTAATAACAAAATTTTAAAAGGTTCTATTGCTTTTCATTAACATTTTATCATTATTCTTTATACCATGCTAAATGATTTAGCTTTATTTTTCTATTATCATACAGTATTGTGTTTCTTTCTTCCTTTCTCTTTCACAAACTGATAAATGCTCTTGGGCAAGATAAGAAGACACAGCCCTACAATGCCCAGCAACGGAGTCTGTGCTAAGCTACAAGTGGCTAATAGAAAGATTACATAAAAATACCCATAATTTTTCAAAACTTGTATAGTGGAAGACTGCAATAAATTAAAGGATTATATATGCGTTAATATCACTGCATAAACTTAACCCTATCAATACCCATCGTTTCTTACTAAAGATAAGACACTATATTTGGATGCCTAGAGAAAATTTCTGATTAAATGATTAACTACTTATCACTTTTTCCAGATATCTGCAAAATTGTTTCCTTATAAATTGTTCTTCAAAAGCAATAGGAAAGGATACGGTGAATTCCCTGGAGGTCCAGTGATTAGGACTCCGCACTTTCACTGCCCAGGACCCGAATTAGATCCCTGGTGGGGGAACTAAGATCCCACCAGTCACAAGCAACACGGCCAAAAAACAAACAAACAACAAGCATATGTTTTGGAGACATTCCCCAGTACTTCGAGGGTTTGAGGAAACTTTGTCTCTTGAGAGAGGAATATTTTTAGAACCTCCCTCTTTCCACATGTGGACTTTGAGTCAGAAGATCTGAAGTCTCAGTCTACCACTGCCTAGTTGTGTGAGATCTTGGACTTGTGACTTAGCCTCTCATTCTTATAAAAAAGGGAGTAGAAAACATTTGCCCTACATGGCTACTGAGAGGATTCAATGGGATAATGATAGTTTAGAGCAGCCAGGTGCCATGGAAATAAGATGTGAGCCACAAATGTGAATCACATCTGTAATTACAATTTTTTCTGGTATCCATATTAAAAAAATTAAAAGTGAAATTAATTTTAACAATATTTGTATTCAACCCAATATATCCAAAGTATTATCTCAACATGTAATCAATACAAAAAATTATGGAAACATTTTACATTCTACCTTCTTTTCACACTAAATCTTTGAAATTTGGTGTGTATTTTACATTATAGTACATTTCAATGAAAACTAGACATATTTCAAGTGCTCAACAGCCATCATGTGGCTGGTAGCCACCCAAATGAATAGCATAGGTAGATATCTGAATTAATTTGTCACATCAACTAGTTGATCATTTAGCAGGCAAAGCGTAAGGGATCTTACCTAAGCTGGTGACATGGTTGTTGCAGGGGCTTCAACCCCAATTGTGGGGGCTTCACAATTTTTCCTAAGGGAGGCATCATCTCCTTTGGTATGCTGAACTTAAAGAAAGTCAAATAACACTAAAATGTATAAAGTTAATGCCTCTCCACACCATTCCAAAATTAACCAATACTATTAACAACTCCAGATAACATCTGGGGAGGTGTGCTTCATAAGACGTTTAAAAAATCAATTCTTTTATTGCCTCTAGATTTTCAACTATGATAACCTCTACATTCTACCCCTCTGTTTTGGTTACCATTTTCATACAGAAGACATTTTTCTTTCCCAGCTTTTTAGTTCTGTTAAGAAATAACATTAGGTACTTTGCTTTATACAATACTTAGTACAGACTGCCTGAATATAACTTTTTATATATTTTAAAATATATACTTACTATTTGGGCTCTTTTCATCAGTGATGCCTTTTTATCATGTGGCTGAATGAAGAAATTAGAAGTCAGATTTAGTTTTGACTGGCTGGTGTTTCAAAGTCAAATTACACAGTCAAATTACAAGGTCATCAAAATTCTTACTCGGAAACTCAGTCGTCTACTGACAGTTTTCAAATCAGTGGGTTGTTTCCTTTATCTAGAATTTATATTAAATGTTACATTTCACCCCAAAGAAAGCTAGATTTTGAGCTCTGTCAGAAAGAAATACGGGTGGGGCGGGTGGCAGGAGGTGGGCACGCAGTGTCTGCAGCGTATACAGCTGAGAAAGCATTTCCTAAAGGCGGTGCTGTGCGTAGTTAGTAGATAAATATTTCCTGCCTTCTGAGAATGATAATCCTATGAAAAGTTAAGAAATGAGAAAACAGACTTGTATTATAGTAGCTATGGTAGGTGTAAACAAAAGATTTAACAAGACTCCAGTAAACCGAAATGTACTACGCCCACAAAGAAAGTTGAGAAATTTGTAAAACGACTTAAAAAAAAAAAAAGCTAGACGTAATTATTATTAAGACTTTCCTGCTCCTTCAGATTGCAACGGCAGTTATTTTCCCGGCGCCCAGAACGGTACTTAGTACGTACTAGGTGCTCAGTGAATAGCAGGGTTCATTGCAGGATTAGGCCTTCCGGCACTACTACCGCACCACAATGTAGTCAAAATACAAAAAACCAAAATATAAAAGCTCTTAATACAATTAGGAGTCCGCGGAACGAGGGTTTTACAGAAAAATAAGCCGTACTACATATACAATATTTTGTTCTCCCAGTGTTTACAACTAGTGGGCGCAGGTCTTTTCCCCGCTTGTAAAAGTCAAAAAAAAAAAAGAGGATTCTACTCTGAAGGGAAGTTCCGAGCACTGGTCAGAGGGCAGGATCCGAGGACACTAAAGAATTAGGAAGGAGAAGCCCCAGGATATTCCAGCCCAAACACACGCTACGCCCACCACGCAGGCGCAGGAAGGGGCAGAGCCGAAGCGGGCGGAGCCGAGAGGCGATTCGCCGGATTCGGATGGCCCCGCCCTCCGTCTCGTGTCAGGCGATCACGTGGCCGTCTAGGGCCGAAGGGCGGAGTTCCAGTGGTTTACAGCAGCGCGCGCTAGCATTCCTGCGGCTGCGGGGACGAACGCGTGTTGCCTGTGGACCTCACGCGAGGCGCCGGAGCCACAACTACGTGAGTTCGCTACAAGGATTGCCCGCTTCCATCCAGTAAGTGTGAGAGAGGTGACCGGAGTGGGTCCGCGGGGGCTGCTAGACTAGCCGCTTTGGGCTCCCACCGGCCGGAAGTCGGGTACTCGTGTGACAGCTGCCGGGCCGCTGCCGGGGTCTAAGTGAAGGGGCTGTTGAACGGTCACTGGAGCCGGGACGGGGAGGGAGGTGAGGCTCAGGGCTGCCCCATTGGTTGGATCTGTTTTGGCGCGCTGTCCCGTCCGCGCTCTCTATTGGCTGGCGGGCGCAGTCCCTGTGGCGCGCTCAGCGGTTGGAGGGCCCTGGCGCGCGGCACCGGATCTTCTGCCCAGGTTTTGGTTTCTGGGTCTCTGTCCGTAGGACGAGCTGGCGGGGTCACGGGGCCGTTTGTGTGCAGCTGCTTGGTGTGAGGGCCTCAGCCTGGGCGTGCCTGGCTGTCGGGATGAGGCGGAACATCCACCCTCTTGACCAGTAATTAACTGGCGGTGATCCAAGGGGGTCTGCAAACTGGGCTCATGGGACAAGGTCCCTGAACTCTGAGTCCCCCTTAAGAAAAAAAATTGAACTTGGTGACACTTGGTTTCACCAGTTTATCAGGATTTCCTTGGACCCAGTCCTATGCCAGAGTTTTCAATCTAGTTGTTTAAAAGAACTAGAGAATAAAAAGCAAGGACGCGAGGTTTCTGGCGGGAGTGTGATGAACAAGTGAAGGATTAGACTTGATCCGTGGCTTTCAACTTTTAAAATCTGGACATGTACTACAGAACATTTTTTACATCGCAATTTAGGATGCAACCCTCCAACTAAATTAGAACCTTCACTAAGCAGTATTTATTTCTCATATGCCTTGCACTCTGACGTTTTCTCGTCTGTTTAGTTACATTTTTCTAAACAACCACTGAGTAATTTTGGAATCCCAGGCTGCAACCCGCAGTTTGAAAATCATTGCCTTGGCTCAGCTCGACCAGCATTTGCTTAATATTAACTAGAATAGAAAATAGGGTGCGTCACACAATTAGATTTTCTTTCCTAAACATTTTCGTTTGCGTTTGTGTGTGCTAGGGCACAGTGTAAAGTGTATTCACATGGGATGGGTCATAGACAAAGTTTAAAAGCCACTGCACTGGGTAAAGAAAGGCATGCCACAGAAATCAAGGAGATCTGTTTGAGGGAGAGACATGGCTGGGGAGTTCAAAGTTGGGTTTGGAGTGAGTCCGGCCCAGTGGTGTGGTTAACGGCGTTACATAGCCCTTTGTCTCTTGCTCCCTTTTCTTTGCTTCCACCAGTGTCTCAGTTCATGATGGTGGTTACACATTCCCTACAAATGTAAATGCATAATCTTATTTGATTGGATATTAAATCACTATTAAGTTATTGCTGGTTACCAGAGCCAAGTTTATTATAGCTTAAATCTGCCTTTGAAATAGTAGAGTTAGGATGCTGCTCTTGCCTTGGGCACACCCAAGTATCTGTGTTTTGCTTTTCCTGGTGACTGTTTTTCAGATCTTTTTTTAAAAATTATTTATTTTTGGCTGTGTTGGGTCTTCGTTGCTGTGCGGGGGGGCTTTCTCGTTGAGGGGAGCAGAGGCTACTCTTCACTGTGGTGTGTGTGCTTCTCATTATAGTAGCTTCTCTTGTTGCGGAGTATGGGCCCTACTGGGCTTCAGTAGTTACGGCACGTGGGCTCAGTAGTTGTGGCTCGCGGGCTGTAGAGCGCAGGCTCAGTAGTTGTGGCACATGGGCTTAGTTGCTCCGTGGCATGTGGGATCTTCCCAGACCAGGGCTCAAACTTGTGTCCCCTGCATTGGCAGGCGGATTCTTAACTACTGCTACCAGGGAAGTCCGTTTTTCAGATCTTTGACAGCCCTGTATTTAATCCAGGACACTGTCACGTTTTGTAAGTTTGTTTAGAATACAAATTTTCCCTTTCGTAACAATATTTTTCCAGCCAGAGTTAATTGTATGTGTGTATAAAGATATTAAGTGTCATTAGCTTTAGTCAGTTGTCATTGACAGGGCTGAGTTTGGGTACAGTGAGAAAAGATAGTTCCATCATTTTTTATTGCTACGATTTTTTAATTTTTCTTTGTATGATTGTACTTTCAACAACAACAAAAAACTAGGTTTCACTTTCTGATGCAGACCATATTCTGTTTTTGAATTACTGATCTTCTGTTCTTCACCAGGTGTACAATGAATCACAGTATGAAGCAGAAACAAGAAGGAATCCAAGAGAATGTAAAGGTATGTGATGCAGTCACTTTAATTTGTTATAGAAAGCACGTAGTTAGATGTTTTTTGACATAATTTAGTCAAATTTAACCTGAATATAATTTCTATGAACGTTGAATTAATCAGTTTTTAGTCTGAGGGCAAGTAACTGTTTAAAAATTAATTATGGTTGAATATTAAGATTTCTGATCCACATACATGGGATGTCTTTCCATTTATTTAGGTCTTCTTTACATTCTTTCAACAATGCTTTGTTGAAAGAAAAAAGTTTCAACAAAGTTTTTCGAGTTTTGAGTTTTTCACTTTTTTGTTAAATTTTTTCCTAAGTATTTTATTCTTTTTAATGCTATTGTAGCTGGAATCATTTCCTTAATTAAATTTTTGGGGTGCTCATTGCTACGGTATAGAAGTACTATTGATTTTTGTACCTTGATCTTGTATCTTGCAACCTTGCTAAACTTGTTTATTCTAATAGTTTTTAGTAGATTCCTTAGGATTTTCTATATACAAGAAATGCTTTGTTTCTTTTACTACATTTCATTAAAATCCTTTTTGTGTATCTTCAGATTAGTGTCTTTGACCACAGAGACAGTTTGCATTATATTGTGTATATTTCCAAGGTATATGCTCATTACCATCCAACTTGCTCATTTTGCCACACTTTTTGAATCCCTGTAGTATACTGTCACTGGAAATCATGTTCCAAATGTTTATTCTTATAACAATAAAGACAGAGCTTAATTTTGAATTTGTAATTTTGACTGGCTTTGCTCTTCAGGTTCTAAATGAATTTTCAACTTAGCTAGGGGGTCCTGCCACACAACTTAGACTATATGTATTCTCAGGATTCCTGGGAATGAGACTACATTGTTAAGAAAGTGTACCAGTTTCCAGATTTAAATTCAATAGTATAAATAAAAGCCTTTTTGTAAGTGATAGCAGGTGCTTTTTGATAGGTTGCTTTGTTTACCTTGCCTTAGTATCTTCCTTACATTATTTTTCGTGAATAATTTGCATCGATAATTTGTGAATTTTATTCCATCAGCTTTCATAAAGGGTGATGGCATCTTCCCACTGTGCTTTGTATGTGTGTTTTTAAACTTTTTATTATGAAAATTTTTAAATATTCAAAAATAGAGTCAATAGTATAATCTCATTTTACTTCCCCCATTTTCAACAATTATCAGTATATGGCCAGTCTTGTTTCATCTCCATCTCCATTCACTCCCCCTTTCCTCCACTGAATCAAATCCCAGACAAATAATTTATGTAAATTCAGCAGATTCTAACAGCTAAAGAGAAGTCTAATATTTACTATCTATAGTACAACTATCTGGGATATAAAAGGATCTGGGTTCTGTTTGGTTCTGGTTCTGCCTCCAAAACTGTGATGTTGGGTGAGTTATTTAGCATCTCAGCCTCAGTTTACTCATCTGTAAAATGAGGGAGTTGGACTGAAACTAGGTCTGTAAGAGTACATTTTAGGAGTTCATGGATTCCTTGCCAATTATACACAAAATTCTGTGAGTATGCTCTTTTGTTTTTTTTTGAGGGGGTTCATAGAATCTCAAATTGTTTTCTAAAAAGATTACGACTCAATATATAAGAACCTTTCTGGCTGTAAAGAGCTTATTATTCTAACGCATGATCTATATGAATAAAATGATAATAGCAATATTGCATTTGGACGGCTGGATGCTATAAAGCTTACAGTTGTGAAAGTTAAATCTTGGAAGTGGTCATTTAGCTGGCTTCTTTGGCCTTTATGAGTAGCAAGCATTTAAATAAATTAACACCTCCTATTATTAAGGTTCCAAAGTTGTATTTTCTTCTGTTTGTCTGGACAATGTTGACTAATCTGTAATCTAAATTATATCTGAAATGTTGGTGTAATATTTGTTCTCACAGTAGCCAGCATTTGTTCTTCAGTTAAATGGTGTTCTTCAGTTAAATGGTGAGATAATAATCAGCAGTAGAAACTTTACCGTGAGAAAGGTGAACTCTAGTCCTGTGAAGCACAGTGTGGAATCAGTAACTTTCTCACGCTGCTTCGGTGTCATGTTCTTGCTGACCTTGTTTGAGTATTCACCATTGTTTGCTATCCCGTGGTGGCAGTATAACTAATGATTTTTTGCAAAAATAGAGAGACCTTTTAGATCAGGAAATATACAGGAAGGTATTTACATATTACAAGGAAACGATTTTTTTTCCCAAAACAATAGCTTGTGCATTTTAGAGTGTTTCTATGCCTCAAGCACTGACATTTTCTCTGCTGATGAATGGGCTTGAAGCAAAACTGTTTCTGCAGTCAGGTAAAGATTGAAGGGGGGAAGCAGGTCTTCTTACATGTATAATATTCTTTAAAGTGATATTCTTTTGGTGGATTCATATAAATGTGTTAGGGACTATTCGCAATTTAAAGGAAGCCTGAGATGAATCCTTTTGATTAGGGGAAAGTATTTTGCAGTGTAAATAATTAACCTTTTCCTCCAATTTACCTCTTTTGTGGGTAG